TGTCAATCAACCATGAAGTTTCTTCTTCACCAGCAAGAGGGTAGGCAAGTAAGGTTTAAGATTTGTAGACTTGACAGTAATAAAGAATGCAGACAAAAGAAGAATCTCATAGGTGGTAACATAGCTAGTTGAGAAATGTTGGCTATTCCTAACATGAGAAGGATGGGGTGATATATTAGGTTCTATTTCTCTGGAAACAATAGAATATCTGTGTGTGTATTATTATGGGAATTGGCTCATGTGATTATGGAGGCTGAAAAATTCTATGATCTGCCATCTGCAAGCTGGAGAACCAGGAAAGCTGCTAGTACCATGTTTCCCCCAAAATAAGACAGGGTCTTATATTTATTTTGCCTCAAGAAGATACCCTATGGCTTATTTTCAGGGAATGTGTTATTTTTTTTTTTAAGTACGGCACAACAATCTACATTTATTCAAATATAATTAAGTCGTCTTCTTCTGGAACATCATCATAATTCTCCAAACCCCTTAATTCCATCCTGAATTTCTTGCGACTCTATTTCCTTTAGAACTGTTGGCTCCAATCTCTCATGTTGAACAATAGAGCTCTCATGGGGCAGATGAGAAGAGCTGCTTTACCGCTCTGTGACGAAATGCATGGGTTGTGCAGATACGCTGTGTAGCAATGCCCATCACTAGGTCTTATTTTCGGGGTAGGGCTTATATTGTGTAAATGCTTAGAAATCCTGCTAGGGCTTATTTTATGGGTAGGTCTTATTTTCTGGGAAACACAGTATAATTCCCAGTCAGAAGCCACAGGCCTTCTGGGGGGATGGGGAGGCACTGGTATAGTCCTGGAGTCTAAAGGACTAAGAACCAGGAGCTCTGATGTCTAAGGACAGAAGAAGGTGGATGTCCCAGCTCAAGAAGAGAAAGGGAATTCACTCTTTCTCCACTTTTTTCTTCTACTCAGGCCCTCAGTGGATTGTATAATGCTCACACACATTGGTGAAGGCTGATCTTCTTTACTCTGTCTAATGATTCAAATGCTAATATCTTCTGGAAACACCTTCACGGATACACCCAGATATAATGTTTTGTCAGCTATCTGGGTATTCCTTAGCCCAGTGAAGTTGACACATAAAATCAGCCATACAGGTAGATCTGGGCATGGAGAAACACAGAGCAGGGACACTTTGAAATCAAACCCTTCTGTTCTGATTGATTTTCTATTTTTACTACGTGCTTTGATAAAGGAAAAAATAATATACAACAGCTTTCTCCTAGAAAATAGAAAAATAAAAAATAAAAAAAAAAAAAAGAAAAGGAAAAAATAATAATAAAGAGAAAAGACTACCACAAACAATTCCTGAACTATATAGTCTGTACAATGAGACATTTTACAGATATTTTAATGTTAAAAGATCTAAAACATAAATATTCTAAAACTCTGGCACATTTTCTGCTGTACCTTCTTGCCCAAATGAAATTCCATTTCTCAATTTGTTGGAAGAGTCGAAATTGTGAGGATTTACATTGTGGCGATTCACACTTGAGTTAAGGCCCAACATAACCTTTTAATAACTTTTGATATTTCCATGGTTGTCATTTCTTTTAGGAAACACTGTATTTATGTGGATAGGCTCGAACCTGGAAATAAATGCCGTTGGCCTGTAAGAATATCACTGTGGAAAGAAGAGATAAAACTATAAAAAGAGACATCAATAATCTAAACTCCTATTTCAAGATCCTACAAAAAGGAGGAGGAAAAAAACACACAAAACAAGCAGAAGGTATCAAGTAATAAAAATAAAAGCAAAATTCAATGAAATTGAAAACAAACAGGAAAAATTAGAAAAAATCAGTGAAGCAAAATGTTCATTCTTTGAAAAAAATCAATAAAATAAAATCTCTAGCAAGACTGACCAAAAAAAAAAAAAAAAAAAAAAAAAAGAGAGAGAGAGAAGACACAAATGACCAATATCAAAAATGAAACGGGATATCATGACAGACTCTGCAGACACAAAGGGATAATAGGGAATACTATGAACAACTCTCTACACATAAATTTGACAATGAAGATAAAATAGACCAATTCTTTGAAAAACACAAACTACCACAAGTCACCCAATATGAAATAATTTGATTATCCCAATAAATATTAAAGAAATTGCACTTATAATTTAAAGACTCCCAACATAGAAATCTTCAGGTTTCAATAGTTTCACTGGAAAACCCTACCAAATATTTAAAGAAGAATTAACACTAATTCTGTACAATCTCTTCTAGAAAATAGGATAAAACATTTCTCAATTCATTTTTTGAAGCTAATGTTACCCTGATACCAAAACCAGACAAAGAAAGTACAAAAAAGAAAACTACAAACCAATATTCCACATGAATACAGACATAAAAAAATCCTTTACAAAATATTAGTAAATAGAATCCAATAATACATAAAAAAGAATTGTACATCATAGCCAAGTGGGGTTTATTCCAGGGATATAAGGGCTGTTTCAATGTTTAAAAATTAATCAGTGTAATTCACTACACCCACAGGATTGTTGTAGGCATCCTTCAGGGAGGCCAGATGGATCCCTCACCCAAACTTTGGTTTGGATGTCAAGACTGATAATGATACCACGCACACCCACATCAAGAGAGTATCAAAAGGTTCACTACTCATGTACTGAAACTTTCTGGGAAGAGCAAGGCAAGCTCCCAAGCAGGTCCAACAATCCAAGAAGTTAGGGAAAGGAGCCTGGCTTAGCTTTTATGGTGCTTAGAGAATGGGGCTGGTTTAAAGGTTCATGTACTTAAGCCAGGGCTTTTGTGGTTTAAATTTCCTGCTGCTGGAAAAAGAGAGAGCACCTGGGCTTTCTTGTCAGTTTGCCTAGATGTGTGGAGGAGGGGAATAGGGAATGGTAGTGCTTGAAAGCTGTCAGCAGTCAAACATTGAAAATGGGGTCAGACATTTTATTGGAGAAGAAAAATCACATGATCCTAACAACCGATGCAGAAAAAACATTTCACAAAGTTCATCACACTTCAATGATATTTTTAGAAAAATAAAAATAAATGGGAACTCCAACTTGATAAAATGTACAAAAACCCTATAGCTAACATTATACTTAATGCGGAAAGACTGAATGCTTTCACTCTAAGATTGGGAATAAGACAAAGAAGTCCGCTTTTATCACTCTTATTCAACATACTACTGGAAGTTCTAGTCACTATAATAAGGCAGAGAAGGAAATAAAAAACATACAGATCAGAAGAAATAAAGCTGTATACATATGCAGATGCTATCTATATATTTGTAGATGACATCTATGTAGAAAATCCCAAGGGATATATAAAAATACTTTAAAGGAATTCAGAGAGGTATCTGGATACAAGGTAAACACCTAAAATACAATAAATTGTTTTTCTACTTATTAGCAATGAACACATGGACACCAAAATTAAAACGTAATATTTACAATCACTCAGAAAATACTTAGGTAAAAATCTAACAAAATATGTAGGGAATTTGTATGCTGAAAACTGCACAATGCTGATGAATGAAATCTAAGAACTAAATAATTGGAGAGATATACCTTATTCATGGGCTGGAAGACACAACATAGTAAAGAATTTTGATTCTCTCCAAACTGACATATAGGACGTGGTAAAGATTTCAATTCTCTTCCAATTGACCTATAAGTTTAACACAACTCCTATCAAAATCCCAAAATTTTTTGCAGAAAGGATTATTTTAAAATTTATGTATATAAAAGGCAAAGGAACTAGAATAGCTAAAATAATTTTGAAAAAGAATAAAGTTGAAGGAACTAATCTACTTGATTTCAAGAATTATTATATAACTACTGTGGTATTGACAGAGGGATAGACACATAGATCAATGGAAGAGACTACAGAACCCACAAAGAGATCCACACAAATATGCTAACTTTTTTTGATGAAGGTACAAAAGCAATTCAATGAAAGAGAGAGAGCTATTTCAAGAAATGGTGCTGGAAAAATTAAACATCCATAAGCTAAATAAATAAACCTTGAACCTTGATATAAATATCACCACACCTTTACATAAATTAACTAAAAATGAATCATAGATTTAAAAGTTAAATGCAAAACTTTTTTCTAAATACATCTTTTAGAAAAAAAATAGGAAAAAATCTTCAGGATCTATGGTTACATAGAGTTCTTAGACTTGATACCATCAACATATTTCATAAGAAGAAAAATTGATAAATGGGACCTCATCAAAATTAAAAACTGTGCCCTGTAAAAAGGATGAAAAACAAGCTATAGAGTGGGAGAAAATATTTACAAACCTCTATCTGGTGAGACTAGTTTCTAGAATTATAAAGAACTCTCAAAGCTGAACAGTAAGATAGCAATCAGAAATGGCAAAAGGCCAGGCGTAGTGGCTCATGCCTGTAATCCTAGCACTCTGGGAGGCCGAGGTGGGCGGATCATTTGAGCTCAGGAGTTCGATACCAGCCTGAGCAAGAGCAAGACCTCATCTCTACTATAAATAGAAAGAATTTAGGCAAACAACTAAAAATATATAGAATAAGTTAGCTGGGCATGGTGGTACATGCTTGTAGTCCCAGCTACTTGGGAGGCCAAGGCAGGAGGATCACCTGAGCCCAGGAGCCTGAGGTTGCTGTGAGCCAGGCTGATGCCATGGAACTCTAGCCCGGGCAACAGAGTGAGACTCTGTCTCAAAAATAAATAAATAAATAAAAGAACATGGCAAAAGACATTTCACCAAAGAATGTTCAACATCATTAGTCATTAAGGAAATGTGAGTTAAAACCACAATAAAAAAAATTACCATATCTATTCAAATGGCTAAAATAAAAAGTGACAGACACACCATATGATGGAAAGGACGGAGAGAACCTGGATCACTCATATCTTGCTAGTGAGAGTGTAAAACAGTACAGCTATTCTGCAGAAGTTTGGTAGTTTCTTTAAAAAAAACCGTAAAAACAAAAAACTACACATGCAACTACTAAATGACTCCACAATGCACTTCTGGTTATTTATTGCAGAGAAATGAGAACTTACACTCACACAAATACATATACACAAATATTCATAGCATCTTTATTCATAATAGCCAAAAACTGGAAACAATCCAGATGTCCTTCAATGATAATGAATGATTCAACAAACTTTAGTACACCTATACTGTGAAATACTAGTCTACAATAAGAAGGAACTATTGATATACCCAACAATCTGGATGAATTTCTAACAAATTATAATGAATGAAAAAGCCAATCATAAAAGGTTACATACTAAATGATTTATGATTTATATAATATTATTGAAATGACAAAATGATAGTAGTGAAGAACATATTGTACTTTATCCACACAATGGAATACTATTCAGCAATAAAAAGGAACACATAAATACAGGCAAAAACATAAATCAGTCTACTCCTGTACTGGAGCCTGACCAATGGGACTCACAAAATTTCAGTCATTAAATTTTCAGGAATTTTGCAAGATATTTAAAAACACTGCCATTAAAACTTACAATTAAATTATTAAAAGGTAATAAATACTCAGAACTCATCAGTTCCTAATTTACTACGTTTTGCCATTTTCTCTGCTCTTAAGGTTGTGTCTGTTGTATCTACATGGTAGAAATAATATATAATCACGTTACTGCACATCTCTTCTACCTCCATGGAGGTATCACCTCCATGATACCTTCATATAGGTAATCAGCCATGGTATGAGTATTAATACTTATGCCACAGAAATTGGCAAGTGCTTCAAATTAAGGCTTGGTTTATTCTTTTGTTGGCTGTCTAGATTAAGGAAGTGTTAGACAAAATGTTAATACAGATTAAATTCAAAAGTATGTCATGTCTACAGCTGTTACCTCATGAATAGCACACACAAAACAATGAAAGTCTTCCAGTGTTTGAAAACTGTTATCAGCTTCAGCAAAGTCCCTCACATCATCAACCAATGAGGAACACAGGTAGTGCTGTAGCTGAACTAAGTAAGTTTTAGTTGTGTAAACAATTTGCAGGAGGGTGAAAATGTTGGGATGAAAGGCTTGGTTTTTCCCTCTTCCAGTTTGTCCATCTCCATTGGAAAATGTGTTCACAATGAGAAATATATCCCCTGGGCTTTAGACACAATGACCCCACTAGATTTTGAGATACTAGGGCCCAAAATTTCTTTATTCTCCATACTACTTGGAATATTGCATATCCCTTATTCACTGGGAAATGCAAATTATAAAGTAGGGATCAGGAAGGAGCTGCAGCCCACCCACTGTATGTATCTCTTCTGGCCAAAGGGTTGGTCAGGTAGCCAAAGTGGGAAAGAAACAGAGACAATTCACCATGTACATTCCAAGCTCTTAGACATTTTAGTATTCTCCACTGGTAGTCAGAGAAGTAATTTCAACACTAGGTTATGCTAAAGATAGTTAGAAATTAAAGTGGTTTGGAAACAAAATAAAAGCAAAAAGCCCATGAGTTCAGTAGAAAAAATATAATTTTTTAACAGCTACTCTTGTATTTTTTCTTATTGTACTGATACTTCATTGCATTTAATAATAAAGGTAAATTCCTTGTTCATGCTTATTTTCCTATATTCCGAATTTTTCCAGTGTTTATAATCTTTATAAAAACTCTTCAATGTGGCATCTATGATGTTCTTTAAATAATGATGTTCAAGAAATATTTTATCTCAGTAAAAAAACAAAAATCTTAGGTTCTACTTGAAGTTGTCACCAAACACCTGGGCAAGGTGTCCAGTAGTAGTGGATTTTCTGGTGTTTCATTAGGGCTGAGCCTCCACTGCAGGCTTCACCCTGTTCACCCCACTTCCAGGGCTTAGCACACTGTGGCTTTTCTGATGTTGGATTAGCGTTGCTCTCTGCCTATAGGCCTTCCCACACCCTTCACATTTGTAGGGTTTTTCCTCAGAGTGGACTCTCAAATGTTTGTTGAGATCTGACTTCCAGCAGAAAGCTCGCCCACATTCAGAACACTCAAAAGGCTTCTCTCCTGTGTGGATTCTGAGATGGTGACTAAGACCTGTCTTTTGACTGAAGGCTTTGCCACACACTTTACACTGATAGAGCTTCACCTTGTTGTGAATCCCCTGGTGTTCTATAAGATGCTCTCCCCTGGTGAAGGCTTTCCCGCACTCAGGACATTGGTATGTCTTATCCCCAGTGTGGATTCTTTTGTGGTTCCTCAGACCAGTTGACCGAGTAAAGTTCTTTCCACATTCATCACATTTATATTTTCTTGGCTCAGGAGGGTTTCCATGCTTGCCTCCTAACTTGTGCTTATTAAGGCCTGAGCATTGACTGAAGGCTTCACCACTTTCATCACATTTATAGGGCTTCTCCCCAGTGTGACTTCTCTGATGTATGATCAGGGTTGAGATCACACTAAAGGTTTTTCCACCCTCAGCACATTCATAGGGTTTTTCCCCAGAGTGGATTCTGTGATGTATTATGAGTTCTGAGCTCTGGCTAAAGGTTTGCCCACAAACAGGACATTCAAAAAGTTTCTTTCCATTATGGATTGTCTGATGTTGATTAAGTCCTGCATACTGAGTGAAGGTTTTTCCACACGTTTTACATTCATAGAGTTTTTCTTCACCGTGAATTCGCCAATGTTCAATAAGGTGTGAACGCTGCCTGAAGGCTTTCCCACATTCACTACATCCATAAGGTTTCTCTTTGTTGTGGAATTGCTGATGTTTGATGAGGTGGAAACTATGGCGGAAAGCTTTCCCACAGTCCATACATTCAAAAGGTTTCTCTCCAGTGTGTAGACTTTGATTCGTCATAAGAACCGATCTCTGACTAAAACATGTGCCACATTTACTACATTGATGGGGCTTTTCTCCAGTGTGGATTTTAAGATGTTGGAAGAGGCCTGCCTTTTGACTGAAGACTTTGCCACACTCTGCACAACTATAGGGCTTTTCCTTGCTATGAAGCCCCTGATGCTGGGTAACTTCTGAACGTCTAATGAAGGCCTTTCCACATTCTGTACATGGGTACGGTTTTTCCCCAGTGTGAATCCTATGCATATGAAGGCCTCTTATCCAGGTGAAGGTTTTCCCACACTTATCACATTTATATATTTTTTCATCTGTCGCATCCCCATCCTGCATTTCCAAACTACCATTAGACTCACTGTCTCTTCTGTATTTTGTGTGCTGAGACATAGTTTCATTAGGTCCATCAGACCCCTCTCTGTGTGGTTCTGTTTCTTCACAAAGTTCCTGCTTTGTGCCTAACATCACATTCTCAGTCTTCATACGACCATCTGAAACAACAGACAATAAAACTTGAGGAGAAAAGACAAACCAAATACAGTAGTTTAAGAGACAGACAGCAGGAAAGGTTAATCTTTATTTTAGGTTAATTTTAGCAGAAGATATTATGATTATGTCTTTACTTAATGTTTAGAGAAATATGTCAGTCAAGGCAGAAGGAATGGTAGTAATACAGGTGTGGAAATGAGAAAGAATAAAGTATGGTTAAGTTACCAATAAAATGTGGTAAAGTTGACAGGATATCACTTCTGTGATTACAAAAGATTGCAATTTGCACCTTGCTAGTGGACTCTTTCTATTGGCATTCTCCCTGACTAACTTTGATGAAGAAAGCTACCCTATGGAGAAACCCATGTGGTAAGGATTGAGGGTAACCTCTGGTTAGCAGTTAGCAAGAGACTGAAGCCCTCTGTCCAATAGCCTGCAAGGAACTGAGTTCTGCTAACATCCACATGAGGTTTAAAGTGAATTCTCCTGTCACACATGAGATCCCAACCTTGGCCAATACAATGATTATAGCCTCACAAGAGACCCTGAAGCAGAGGACCCAGCTAAGCCATTCCCAGACTTAAGAAAGCATGACATAACAAATGTGTGTCATTTTAAGCTGCTAACTTTGTGGTAATTTGTTAAGCAGCAATGATAATTAATACACTACGAGTATAAAAACGCAAAGTTTCCTAACTAAGAACTACTATAATTAAAAGAAAAATGGAGGGGAAACAAACCACACACTGAAAAGCATATATATAGGTATCTATGTGTATTTTGTATATATATATGGTTATACTTATATTTATAATTTGCATATTTATATATCACATGTAAAACAGAAAACACAAAACTATATTAAGAGCATATGTAACTGCCAGATCAGTCATATTAAATGTAAATATACTTAACTCATCCCTTAGATCAAATTAGATTTGATCACAGAGCAAAGCCCAACTCTATTATGTATATAAGAGTTACAATTAAAACAAAATGATTGAGAAAAGTTACAAATAAAAAATGAACAAGGGTAAGTTAAGCAAATGCAAATAAAAAAAATTCATTAAAATCTCAATTTCAGAAAAAGGCCAAAGCATAAAATGAGACAAAGAAGAGTATTTTATAATGTTAAAGAATACAATTTACAATGTAGACATAACAGATATGAATAATTATATAAAAAATAACAGAAAAGTAACTTTCCTAAAACAGAAATTATAGAAGACAGAGAAAAACAAAAAACAGAGACTTTGTCCTTTGTCTAGAAAAACATCAAATGGACAAAAATAAATAAAATTAATAAATTAAATCTTATGGATATACACATGTCAAGCTCTGTACTCAAAAAATAGAGAAACATCTTTTTCAGTATGCAGTGAACATTAATGAAAACTGTCTATATATTGGGCCATTAAAAAAACCACAATAGGATGGGCGCAGTGGCTCAAACCTGTAATCCTACCACTCTGGGAGGTTGAGGCAGAAGGATCCCTTAAGGTCAGGAGTTCAAGACCAGCCTGAGCAAGAGCAAGACCCCCGTCTCTACTAAAAATAGAAAGAAATTAGCTAGACAACTAAAAATACATAGAAAAAACTAGCCAGGTATGGTGGCGCATGCCTATAGTCCCAGCTACTAGGAAGGCTAAGGCAGGAGAATCGCTCACGCCCAGGAGTTTGAGGTTGCTGTGAGCTAGGCTAACGCCACGGCACTCTAGTCTGGGGAACAGAGTGAGACTCTGACTCAAAAACAAAAACAAAAACCCACAATAGCCGGGCGTGGTGGCTCACGCCTGTAATCCTAGCACTTTGGGAGGCCGAGGCGGGCGGATTGCTCAAGGTCAGGAGTTCGAAACCAGCCTGAGCAAGAGCGAGACCCCGTCTCTACTATAAATAGAAAGAAATTAATTGGCCAACTGATATATATATAAAAAAATTAGCCGGGCATGGTGGCGCATGCCTGTAGTCCCAGCTACTTGGGAGGCTGAGGCAGGAGGATCGCTCGAGTCCAGGAGTTTGAGGTTGCTGTGAGCTAGGCTGACGCCACGGCACTCACTCTAGCCTGGGCAACAAAGCGAGACTCTGTCTCAAAAAAAAAAAAAATGTATTGATAGGGAAAGGGGAAGGTTATTAACTGAAAAAATAGGTTATCAAATAGCACATAGAATATAATCTCATTTTGGTAAAAGGTATGTGCGCATATGTATATTGAGTGCACACACATATATGGATATACAAAAAGATGTATATCCATCTGTAAAATGTGAAAAAGAAAAGAAAAAAAAATAAAAAAAAAAAAAAAAAAAAAGTCTTGACTATGGTAGGTTGAAACTGATTCAATGAAAATCTGTAAGTCCATAATGATATTAACATAAAGTCCTAAAATCTCATGTCACCACTTGAAGTGCCTGTTAAATCACTCCTTTAATTTGAAAATCATTCTGTTTGGTTCTCTGGGATAAAAAAAAAAAAAAAAAAACAAAAAGATGTATAGATATAAAATAAAAAATCATCAATCATCTTGAGGTGGTAGAATATCAAGCTTTATTTTCTTATTTTGCTAATCTGTATTTTTTTTAACTCTCTACAATGCATATATAGTTATTTAGTAATAGTAGAGGTATCTTTTTAAAAAATCAATACAGTTTTATAGGTTAATATCCTATCAGGGTCTACTAAAGGATACAACAATCAAAATAATTGAAAGTAACATTTGCTACCAGACTACATACAGAAAATTCAAGTATGAATATTTAAAACAAACCATATTACTGAGGCTGTTCCAACCTTTTAAATTATTATCATCTAAAATGTCACCTTTGTCATGTCCTTTAATAACTCTCATAATAAGAAATTAATAAGTCACACTTCACAAAAGAACACATTCAGAGTTAATTTCAGTCTAAAGCCCCTAGAGAAATGCTTGCCTCACCTCTTTCCTCTGCCAGCTGGGGCTCAGGTCCCTTGAACTGGATCTCTGGTGCCTGCACCGAGGTACATAAAGATTCTTCATCTGGTGTCTGAACGGTCACTGTCTGCATAAGGACTTTCTGTTCCAGAGCACAGGCTGAAACCTGGAGATAAACAGCATTCATTAAGCCTGAAAGATATCATGAATTGAAAAGGCATTAAATCTCAGGAAGGAGTCCACAAGAAATATATGCAAGAGAAACTAGGAAGAAGAAAAGAGAAACCAGCACCTTATTTACCTGGGACACTGAGAAGCAGCTAGAAAGGCAAGCAAAGCAAGGTTTGACCAAATCTTGTTTCTATCATTTCATTTACTGGCTATGTCCTTGGCCAAGTTTCACAACCTCTCTGAAGTCAGTTTCTATGTGGGAAAAATCAGGATAATACCACCTACCTCACTCTGTGCTGTGAGAATTCAGTGACCTGTAAAGGAGCATGATGCTCATAAAACAGCTTCAGTATCTTTACTCACTCTCTCTGAATCTGTTATGTTTCCCACTCCTCCCCTCTTTACAGAGAGCTAGCTTAGCAAACAAAACTTTGTTCCCCTGCTGAATGATGGGTCTTTCCATTGTTTTCTCAGAGCCTCACACCTGAGATCACATTTTGCTCCCAGCTTTCCCACAACCACATCAGACTAGTGTCTTTCTTTATGTACATTTTTCTTTCTTTCCAGGTCCTCCAGCAAGGTTACTGCCTCCTCCCCACACTCTGGATTATGCTGCTGGATCCAGGCCTGGAGCTCCTCCGGCAGGATGGACAGGAACTGCTCCAGCACTACCAGCTCTAGGATTTGCTCCTTGGTATTTGTCTCTGGCCTGAGCCACTGATGGCAGAGGTCCTGGAGCTGACTTAGAGCAAGACGGGGTCCTCGGGAATCTTGGTAGCAGAAGTGTCTGAACTGCTGCCTGAAGATCTCCCAGGCAGGGGGCTGGTTCTCAGGAAGGTTGAAACCCTGATTCCTCGGATGATCCTCTTCCAACTTCACTTTCACAATCACAGGCCCCTGCTGACCCCAGGAGGCATACAGCTGGCCAGCAGCCTTTCTTCTGTCTGTATCCATCTTGCCCAGTTTCTGCTGGAGTTTCAACTGAAGCCTTCTGAGGGAACTCTGGGAAATAAGAATTAAGTGATAAGGAGGGAAAAAAGCAAATGCTGCAAAGAATCCACACAGTTAAGAAGACTTGTGACCAGAGTAACTTGTTTATTCATTAATCAAATCCACAAATATTTACTAGAGGCCTACCATGCGCAGAAACTGTTCTAGGTGTTTGAAATATGTTAGTGAACAAAGCAAAGATCCCTGCCATCGGGGAGCATTCATTCTAGCTGTGGCAATCAATAAACACAATACGAAAAGTATATAGTATGTTTGATGGTGATAAAACGACATGGGTGCGGGGAAACAGGCAGAACGAGGACGTGGGCTTAATGAGAGAAGACTTCTCCAAATCCGGTATTAAGTATGTGCATGTAGTCCTTAGCCCCCCCTCCCCCAAACTTTCCAGATTTATCAGTTGCTACAGAGCTTTTCCATACTTGAGTCCATAAGATTGTGGGAGAGATAAACACCTGTCACGAATAACATCTGGAAAAACACTGACCTTCTTTCATGTTAATTTGGCAAAACGGGGAGCGAAATCTCAGATTCACACAGAACCCGCAGCCCCAGGTTTTGTCCAATCGTCGAAAGCACGGTCCCCAAGAATGGTATCATCCAGAGACAGGGTCCCGTTTCGGGGGCCTCGCAGCCGGGCCTTCCCGGAGGCTTACGGTCAGACGCCTGCTCAGGTTCGTGTGGCCCGGTGCCTCTCCGGACTCCAGGCGTTCCCCAGCCTGAACTAGGGAGGGTACTAGCTCCCCGATGCAGCCCAGCATATCCGGAGCCTCGTAGGGGTCTCCCCACTCCTCGGCTCTGAGGACCGAACCCGAGACCCAGGCGTGAGGTACCGCGCAGGGCCGCTCACCTGGAGTGAGGGAGCGCGCAGAGCTCAGCGCGTAGAGCGCAGCCTGCAGAACGGTACCTCCCGGAACCCGCAGCTCAGGCGCGCGCCCCGCTTCCGGTGTCTCCCGGGGATCACGCCCCCGAGCGAGCGCGCGGCCGCGACCTGCGTCAGCCAAGTGGCGCGGCGTCTCTCAGAAACCCTGAGGTGGCGGTTCCGCTCTGTTTTAAATTCCAGCCTCGGAAACCAAAGGTCTAGGAGCGGCAACTGTGCAGCGAAGACTACTCTAAACCCAGCTCCGGGATTGCTGAAAAATTTAAAAAGTGTCTCAGATTCTCTCCTCCTGCAAAGTCAGCAGAGTATCTTAATCGGAAATGTGTTGGAGTGCTTGATGACAACAGATAAAAAATGATTGTGGATCCAAGCAGTCAGGGTTTAATCAGAGAACCAGAACCACTAGGAGATATGCACATAAGGGATTTATTATAGGGATTTGGCCTTACACAGTTGTGAGAGCTGGTTAAACAGTCTGTGAGGCTGTTCTATGTGGTGCTGGAGCCTGAAGTCAACAGAGTCGGCAATTGGGAAAAGATGGATGTGAAGCGGGAGAAACGAGGACAAGCTGCATCTCCTATGAACACATATCAGTCTCTCTTCGCCTCTAGTGCTCCAACTTCGATGATGGGATGTCCAGCAGGAGAATCTAGGGCCTTTCTTAATGGAACTAAAAAAATTTTCACGTTTACTGTGCTCTGCTTTCCCTCTACTGACATTCAAACATACTCAGAAGTCCTGGTTACTGGCTGGTGTTGTCTTTGGTGTCTGCCTTCAAACTCAGCACTTGAATGTTGGAAATACACAAAAAGAAGCCAGAACATTTTTTACTCTCGTGAGGAATTTAGCTTTGACTCACAGTTGATTAGGTCTCAAATGTTTTCCAATCCTATAAAGTTAGAGGTTAATTTGTAGAAAATTGAAAAGATGATAAATTTTCCCCCTTCTCAGAAGAGAAGATAACCTCAAAGGTTATAGTTTTATTACACAACAGAACATTAATGAACTTTGTATATACTTCAGCAATTTTATTGCAACATTTTCTCCCACTAATTATATAAATTTGAATTTCTTATATACCTTTTAAATTAGGTCTGCTATTCTGTTGGCTCCTTTGTTAATGAGCTAAATAAAACTTGGACGCATGCTCATTATTTGTTAGATTAAACCATATGAAATTATTGCTAATTGTAAGTCAACCTAATACTTAGAAGAGAAACATTTTCTTTAAGAATTTGAGAATGAAACGTTGACAGCAAGTGGGTACACAGGTTATATAACCTGTTGGAGGCTTGATGAAGTTCCATTTCCTCTGTCCACTTAGCTGCTCTCTCACCTTGGATGAAAGGTTCATTGGAGGAAAATTGCTAAGGATGCAGTTAACCTTGGAGTGCATCACACAGAATTTTCTGACATCAGAAATGATTCAGAATCAAACCTAGAATGCTATTCTGAAAGGTGAACTATGAATGACTATACCAGTTTCATGCAGAGGTAGAAGGAAGAGTCTCTCAAATATTTTCATCACTATATATCTTGAATATCACAAATTCCACCAATGAAATCCATTTCTAACATTCAGTATGTAAATTACTAAAGCCTCTACTGTTATTCGTAGATAGAAGTAATAGCAGTGCTTAATGCTAACTTCTACTGGAATGTGGCCTTTCTGATTAAGTGCTGGTTGGCCACCCCTGAAGTGTATATTACTGATTAGGGGATCCATCCATATAGACAGTGAAGTCAAGTTTTTTGTTGTTATTTTGGGTTTTTTTTTTTTTTTTTTTTAGCAAATTACAGACCACATAAGGATAATCTATTTTTATTAGACAAACAGGACTTTCCTGTTTTCATCATCCCCAATACAGGATGTTCCTGGAAGGTAAGCAATTCTTGTCTCAAATGTTGAACTGTGCTTATTTTCTAATATTTCAGAAAATTCACAAAATAGAAGTGTACTCAATAAAAATGACTTCATATATTTTATTGGCATAACCTGCTCCTAATCATATTCTATTTGGGGGCATTGTTATTTAAATAGATTATGGTCCCTAAGAGCTTATCAAATAATGAAAGGGAAGCAACTCAATCAGGTTGCTTACCAAGTAGTAGTTTTCAAAGGTATTATTACATTAAATAGTAAAAAGTCTTGGGACAAATGAAACATGTTTATATATTTTAACATTACATATATTTGTCACAACTTAAGTCACCAAGTGCTTCTTTTTAAGAAAGCCCATATTGTTTTGTTTCTAGTTATCTTTTTAAATATTACAATCATAAGGTATCAACAAGTTCTTCTCTCCCTTTTTTCAAAGTTGTGCTGACCAAAGCAATTTGCTGGTCAGGTGCAGTGACTCATGCCTGTAATCGCAGAACTTTGGGAGGCAGGAGGATCGCTCAAGGTCAGGAGTTGAGACCAGTCTGAGCAAGAATGAGACCATCTGTACAATAAATAGAAAAATCAGGGGGGATAGTGCCTGAGCTCACGGTCCCAGCTACTGGGGAGGCTGAGTAGAAGGATCACTTGAGCCCAGGAGTCTGAGGCTGCAGTGAACCATGATGACGCCACTGCACTCCAGCCTGGCAACAACAGAACAAGACCCTGTCTAAAAACAAAACACAAGATTGCCAGGGCAGCCAAGAATTTACGTAAACTCTTTAACTTCATATTGTAAGATAAAATTGCGTGACAAATGAAGCTGAACAGTGTAGGTACAACCTGTTGCCAAGGCTGCGGACAAAGTTTTTGTTGGGCAGCGGAAAGCGTGACACCCACCCTACCCGCCACCGCATTCAGCTAGGAAGTAACGTCCCGCCCCTCTCCGGAGGTCTCCATAAGGCTGAGGGCGCTCCCCGCCGCGGGGCTGGGCGAAGAGAGCCACACGGTCGCTCCACGCTTCCTAGCTTTGACTCTAGCACTGCCCTCTCTCTCTTAAATCCACTCCAGAGCCCAATCTTCATTCTACTTCTCCAGAAGAGTAGAAGAGAGAGCTTGAGCGTGAGCAAAAATCGGGAATAGGTCTACACAAGACTCTAAGGAGCTTCGGAGGTTTGGGCGTCTCTATTTTCTCCATCTCCAGCCAGCTCCCTCGGGCTCCACGCCCTCCCTAAAGCAGCCTAGAGCTCTTTAAGTCTTTGTGAGGAGACCTTTGCACCAGCTCTTTAAGTCTTGTGAGGAGACTTTGCACCCAGGAGACGTACGTCTGAAAACAGTAGCAGAAAAGATGTCAGACTTGGGGTCAAGAATTTTAGTCTCGTCTGTGTCGCTTTAAATAAATCCCTCACTCCTCTCTGTTCCAAGCATTGAAGTAAATTATAACGACCAGATAGGTTTATTATAAATAAATGGATGGATGACTAATGAACCCAAGGAAGCTATTACAATCTACGCACTTCACCAACCAAGTTACTTCCCTTTTTTAACGTGCACTGAGCGAGTTGGAAGAGATTTTCATTGTGATGGACTCACGTTCCTGTGTGCTTTGTTAACCTGAGCAATGCTTTGAATTTCTTTATTTGTTTGTTTATTTTTTTCAGACAGAGCCTCACTCTGTTGCCAGGGCTAGGTGGTGCTGTGGCATCAGCCTAGCTCCAGCAACCTCAAACTCCTGGCTCAAGCAATCCTCCTGCCTAAGGCTCCCTAGTAGGTGGGACTAGAGGCACACGCCACCATCCCAAGCTAACTTTTCATATATTTTTTAGTTGGTCATAACTTTCTATTTGTAGTAGAGGGGGGGTCTTGCTCCTTGCTCAGGCTGGTTTCTCGAACTCCTGAACTTCAGCGGATCCTCCACCTCGGCCTCCAGAGTGCTAGGATTACAGGCGTGAGCCACCACGCCCGCTGAATTTCTTTAAATGGATCTTCCACAGGAGCCTATACTCCAGCAAATAAAACATATTTGATGTAAACAGCCTAGAAAAAAGATAACCTATTACTCTTACTCTACCCAACACCCTTTATATGAAACTGCGTATACCACCCTGTGAAATATCAGTTACTCATATGTTAATGGCTTCTTCCACCTTTTCCCTACAAAATCTGTCATAGTTAAAACTTATGTGTCAATTAGCTTAGGCTGTGTTCCAGGCGCTACTGTTAAGGTATTTTAAGTTGCAATGACATCTACAATCAGTTGACTTTAAAAGGAGACCTACCTATAATGTGGGTGAGCTTCCATCTAATCTGTTAAAGACCTTGAGGCAAAAACATATCATTGGAGAAGGAATAATTGCCTCCAGAATGTAACAATGGAATCCTGCTTGAGTTCTTAGCTGCCAGCCTGCCTTACAGATTTGGAACTTGTCTCCACAGTCACATGAGCCCAATTCTTAAAATGAATCAATCTCTCTATATGTACACATAATAATATACAATTGATAGTATAGTATTAATAATAGAGTATTAGTAAGTCAATTTCTGTTTCTCTGTGAGACCCTGACTAATGAAACCTCAAAATCCTATTTATCCTTAAAGTCCACTTATGCCATTTTTTTACTTTTCCAATTCTCCCGGCAGAATTTTTTGATCTGTGTTCCATTTATCTTTCCTATTAGATTGTAAATTCATCAACTTTGAATCACGTTTTAACTCACCTTTTGTAATACCCCTTAATAAAATACATGAACAACATATCATATGAAAAGTAACCTATTCTTTAAATACTTAATGTCTTCAGAAAATTTAAATAGCCACCGGGCCGCGGGTGGCTCCACGCCCTGTAATCCTAGCACTCTGGGAGGCCGGAGGCAGCTGGATTGCTGAAAGCCATCCAGGAGTTTCAAAACCAAGCCATGAGCAGTGAAGGCGGAGCCGCTCTCTACTAAAAAAGAAAGAAAAATTTGACCAACCTTATATACACAAATTAGCCAGGCATGGGCGCGTGCCTGTAGTCCACAGCTACTTTGGGCGGCTGAGGCAGTAGGATGTTGAGGCCCAGGCGAATTGAGGTTGCTGTGAGCCAGGCTGACGCCACGGCACTCACTCTAGCCTGGGCAACAAAGTGAGACTCTGTCTCAAAAAAAAAACAAAAAAAAACCCCACAATAAATTCTAAAAGATATAAACAACACAAACATTCTCAGATTACAATACAATAAATCTAAAATTAATAGCAAAATCAGAAAACAAGCCCTTCCACCTGAAAATTTCAAAACTTTCAACCAATTACTGGTTCAAGGCAAAATACAAGCATAAGTTTCAGATTTTCTAGAAAATAATATTAAAAACACTATGTTTCGAAACATTTAAGATTCATCTAAACCAATGTTCAATGAAATATTCAGAGCATCAAATATATCAGTAATAGAGGGAAGATGAAAACAGGGAGAATGATATCAATCCAGCTGAAAAGTTAAAAAGAAAAAAAAGGACATACTTTATTGGCTTTTCTCCCTTTCTTATTTCAATTCCCCTTCCTTGTACTTCCTAGGATCACCTCTGATATAATCTACAACTTAAAATAAATAAATAGATAAGTCAAAGGAAAACAAAGGAATTAACAAAAATACAGAAACAAATTAAATAAAATATAGAAAAATGAAACATTGTAATATTAAAACTGAATTGAATACATCAATATGAACTCATGCATTTTAGAAAAAAGGTTCATCTAGCTCTGTGCAGGAAATGTCGAAGCAGTGTTGCCTTAGTAATAAAGAACATCCCTAGCACCCAGATTTTATTCGCCAATACCATTCTCCATTCAAAAGAACCATGGCTTTTTCATAAATGCTTGACACCAGACCTGAGACTAGAGAATGTACAAGGTAAACCTGGAACAATCATTTTGTTCAGAAAGCAAACATTCAACAATTAAAAGGGTTATGGCACACAGATACAGAAGCAAGACTGAAGATGTCAACACAGACCAAAGATGTGCCAATTTGA